TTTTTCCAAAAAATAAGTCTTTGGTTAATCTTTGAAACACAAATTCAGACATTTTAGTGAAACCTGATAGGTTTCTGTCCCTCCATTGTAGTGCTAACTTTGTCAGCCATTTTTAGTCTTTTAAATTATTCTTAGTCTTAGTCCTGTCTGTGTCAAATGTACTTTTTAGTTATTATAATATTTAGCCAACCTTGTCCTGTTTTTGTTTAGTCAAGTTTTAGTCGACTAAATGTCTGATCATTTTAGTCTAGATTTAGTCAATGAAAACGTAATCACATTTTCGTCATGCTGTATGATGGTTAAACTTATAGCTGCTCAAAATTATAATCACAATGATTGTTGTCATTTGAGACATTTATTTTTACATTTCAGGTATTGCACTTTCACCAATAAGCACAAACCAACAGAATGTGAACTCATACACATGGTTTATTTTATCTCCTCTAGTGTACTGATTTTTATAGGCTATTTAATATAAAAATTTATATCAAAGACTTAGATATTATAGGCTATTTAATAAATAAATAAATTAATATCAAAGACTTAGACTATGAAAGCTACCAAAGACTATGAAAACTGGTAAAAACAAACAAAAAATATTATATTCCTAATAGTAATTCCAATAATTCCAAATTGCAATAATATTTCTCTATTAAAACAACAGCGGTTGAGTAAGTGCATTTATTCATCAACCACAATTGCAAACAAAATAGTCGAGATCTCATGACAGAACACTGACTGGCTGAATGACACTTTCATTTAAGCCGAACATCTCACATGGAGATCGCTGAACTCCAGCTTACTTGTTTGTCTGTGTTTTCAGATCAGTGCTTCTGTAAGGCTGGCCACACACTTGAAGATTTTAAGGCTGATTTTAAGACCGATTTGCACCCCCGAACGATCAGGGGGCGTGGCTAGATTCGAGGCTTGTCCAAAAAAATCCTCTATTGTGTGGTGTCGTTATGATTATTTAACTGCTCCTGATCGAGACGGAGTGTCCGATCAGGTGTCGTAGATATCAAATAGCGTTCTTCTGCCTCTGATGTGATACCCGCGATAGCCAATGAGAGTGAGCAAGCGTCACCTACCATATGTTGCGTGCTTCTATGGCTGAAACTTGGCAGCCACAAACATGCCAAGAAAGTAGAGTACTTAGAAAGAACATTACCCATATTCTTTTTTTCTATTTTGTTTTTCAGACAAAGTTGATTGTCCTCCATGTGTTTTTCTTCTCTAGTCACGTTTGATCTCGCGAGTGTCCATGAGATCACATGTCACTGTGAAATCGTTCCTACAGTCATCATGTGTGTGGTCTCGCGGCTCGAATCATCTAGTGTGTGCGTTCAGAGGATTATAAAGCTAAAAATCAGTTAAAACTGTCTTCATGTCTGTTTCTCCCATGGTTTTAAAATCGGTTAAGATTTGAAAATCGTCTAGTGTGTCCCAGGCCTAATGAAGAGCGAGCACGTGCGCATGGTTGACAGATTGCAAAAATTTATCAAAACACCGGGCAGAAATTTAATCCTTTTAACAGAGAAGCTCTGATTTGGGGATTTGAACTCTTGATATATGGCAACCGCACACATGAAAGCTCCTATAGTAGAGGCTAGGGATGTGCATCTCATGACTGAGGCCGATAAGATACGCATCTCGATGCATAGCCAACGATACGATACATTAAAGATACA